TCCTTGGCCACTTGGAGCCGTCTTGGGGCCGTCTTTGGGCCTCTTGGGGCCATCTTGGGGCCATCTTGGGGCCATCTTGGGGCCATCTTGGCGCCTCTTGGGGCCTCCTGGGCGCCTCTTGGGGCCATCTTTGAGGAGATCGATCAAAGAAGAGGGTGGGGTCAATCAGCACTGCCCCCCAAGAGGCCAACATGGAGCCAAAACCCTAGTAAAACCGATGATGCTGGCTTCCTCGCCGAGGCCGTTTTGGACGCTCCAACTACCAGCGAAACCCCCCGTCCAGGTCCAGGGTCGGGGGTTAGGGGGAGGGGTAAACCCCTCCCCAAGGGGGAAGAGGGAGGGGTGGAAGAGGATCTGTTCTAGACCACCTACGCCCAGAGGGCTGGTGGGATTTTGAACACGAATGTGCGCGGCGCTGAGGCGAGAGCCGCGCTTTGAAAACCACCCACCCTCTATCTGTGAAGTTGTTGCCCTTTTTACGTACTCAGAGTCATAAGTGGTGAGGAAGTCTCAGGCGAAACGCCCGACCCGCCCTAAAAACTGGCCTTGGGGTGCGACAGGGAAGAGCTACCTATAAGGAGAAGGAATGGAGGGGGAGGAGGAGGAGGAGGAGGAGGAGGAGGGGGAGGCGGAGGGGGAGGCGGAGGAGGAGGAGGAGGAGGAAGAGGAGGAGGAAGATGAGGAAGAGGAGGAGGAGGAGGAGGAGGAGAGGAGGAAGCGGAGGAAGCGGGAGGAAGGACGAAGAGGACGTGGACGAGGAGTAGGGGACCCAGGATGAAGGAGGACATGATGCTGCGGTTGTGGGGGTGGAGGAAGGAGGGGGGGGGGCATGACTGGACAGGACGTCGAGTTCCAGGGAGACGTGTCCGCCATCTTCTTGTGCGCGGCTTCGGGGGCGTTCATCAGCACAACGGGGGGCGTGGAGGAAGCCCCCACTCGTCTGGATGATGTTGATGAAGCGGGAGGAGGGTAGACGGGACGCTGCGTCATGATGATGAAGATGATCATGGGAATGCTGATGCTGAGGATCAGGATGCTGATGCACTGGGGCATGGCGACTATGATGAGGATGACGTCGTGGCTGCTGACGATAACGACGACGATGTTGCTGCTGCTGTTGAGGGTGATCAGTCTGATGATGTTCGGATGTCTATGCTTATGCTGATGGTGCTAACATGGGTTGCGGTATTGATGCTGCTGTTGAGGAGGGTGTCGGTTGTGCCAATGCTGACGCTGTCGACGATGTCTTTTTACATGGCGCGGATGGCCATGGCGATGGCCATGACGATGATGACGATGACGATAATGATGACGACGACGATGCTGATGACGATGATGACGATGATGACGATGATGATGATGATGATGATGATGGTGATGATGATGGTGATGATGATGATGGTGGCGATGGCGATGATGAGGATGATGAGTTTGATGCTGCTGGTGCTGATGGTGCTGATGATTCTGCCGATGCTGTTGTTGATGGTGAATATGATGATGCTGACGATGATGATCACGCTGATGATGATGGTGATGATGATGCTGATTCTCATGCTGAGGCTGATGAGACTGATGATGATGATGATGATGATGATGATCATGATGAGGATGCTGATGCTGCAGATGATGACTACGATGCTGCTGATGATGATGCTGATGATAATAACGATGCTGATGCTGATGATGATGGTGCTGATTATGATGCTCATGCTGATGATGTTGATGCTTAGGATGATGATTGTGATACTGATGATGCTGCTGATGATGCTGATGATGCTGTCGTCGTTGCTGTTGATGATGACGATGATGATGATGCTGATGCTGATACTGATGCTGATTCTGATGATGATAACGATGATGATGATGATGATGATGATGATGATGATGATGATGATGATGATGCTGATGCTGATGATGGTGATGATGATGATGATGATGATGATGATGCTGATGCTGATGCTGGTGCTGATGATGATGACGACGATGCTGATACTGCTGATGATGCTGGCGCTAATGATGGTGATGATGATGTTGATGTTGAAGATGATGAGGATGATGATGTTGATGCTGACGATGGTGCTGATGCTGATGCTGATGATGATGCTGATGATGCTGATCACTGATGCCCTCAACCACGAGACAGAGTGTGTTGCTAGAGCGTGTCTTGCTGGATGCCTCGCGGTATACTGATATTTCGACCCATGTCCGTTCCACACAACTACATCATTGCCAAGAACAGTACTTCCTTACCAGTTTATGTGCGCACGATGATTCCCAACCATCCTGTGGTGTTGGGTCCTCGTTTTGAAGAGACAGCGCCCCGCGTCTCCTCCTCCGTCCTTCCCCCTCCCCCCCTCCCTCCTCCCCCATCCTCCCTGCGTTTCAGCATCATCACCCGTGTCAGCATACCCCTCACACGTTTCGTGGCCTCATAAGGAGCTCCACCGAAGGCCCAAATTGGACCGCCCGCATGCGTCACCCAGTACAGCGTTTCGTGGCCCCATAGGGAGCTCCACCGAAGGTCCCAGTGGGACCACCCGCATGCGTCACGCACCACCCAGTACAGCGCTTCGTGGCCCCATAGGGAGTTCCACCGAAGGCCCCAATGGGACCGCCCGCATGCGTCGCGCGCCACCCAGTACAACGTTTCGTGGCCCCGTAGGGAGCTCCAGCGAATGTTCCAGTGGGACCGCCCGCAGGCGTCACGCACCACCCAGTACAGCGCGTCTTGGCCCCATAAGGAACCCGTGAGAAAGCCACCGTGGTACCGCCCTCATGCGTCACGCACCACCCAGTTCAGCGCTTCGTGGCCCCATAGGGAGCCCCACCGAAGGTCCCAGTGGGACCACCCGCATGCGTCACGCACCACACAGTACAGCGCTTCGTGGCCCCATAGGGAGCCCCACCGAAGGCCCCAATGGGACCGCCCGCATGCGTCGCGCGCCACCCAGTACAACGTTTCGTGGCCCCGTAGGGAGCTCCAGCGAATGTTCCAGTGGGACCGCCCGCAGGCGTCACGCACCACCCAGTACAGCGCGTCTTGGCCCCATAAGGAGCTCCACCGAAGGTCCCAGTGAGACCGCCCGCATGCGTCACGCACCACCCATCTCGTGCCCCCCATGGGGAGCTCCACCGAAGGCCTCAGTGCCACCGCCCGCATGCGTCACGCACCACCCAGTACAGCGCTTCGTGGCCCCATAGGGAACCCTAGCGACGGCTCCATTGGGACCGCCCGCATGCGTCACGCACCACCCAATACAGCGTTTCGTGGCCCACAGGGAGCCCCACCGAAGGTCCCAGTGGCAAAGCCCGCATGCGTCACGCACCACCCAAGACAGCGCTTCGGTGCCCCATATGGAGCCCCACCGACGCCCCCAGTGGGACCGCCCGCGTGCGCCACGCACCACCCAGTACAGCGTTTCGTGGCCCCATAGGGAGCTCCACAGACGGCCCCAGTGGGACCGCCCGCGGGCGCCCGCACACCCAGTACAGCGCTTCGTGGGCCCATGGGGGGCCACACCGAAGGTCCCTCCCGCTGGGACCGCCAGCGTGCGCCGCCATCACCCATTGCACCGTTTCGTGGCCACATAGGGAGCCCCAAGGAAGGTCCCAGTGGGACCGCCCGCGTGCGCACCGCACACCCAGTACAGCGTCTCGTGGCCCCACAGGGAGCCCCACCGAAGGCCCCAGTGGTACCACACGCATGCGCCTCGCACGCCCAGTACAGCGTTTCGTGGCCCCATAGTGAGCTCCACCGAACGCCCCAGTGGCAAAGTCCACATGCGCTTCCCCCACCCAGCTCAAAGTTTCGTGGCCCATAAAGAGCTCCGCCGAAGGCCCCAGTGGCAACGTCCGCACGCGTCTCCCCCACCCAGCACAACGTTTCGTGGCCCATAGGGGGCTCCTCCGAAGGCCCTAGTGGCAAAGTCCGCATGCGTCTCCCCCACCCAGCACAATGTTTCGTGGCCCATGAGGAGCTCCACCGACGGCCCCAGTGGCAAAGTCCGCGTGCGCCTCCCCCACCCAACAGAACCTTTCATTGCCCATAGGGGGCTCCTCCGAGGGCCCCAGTGGCAAAGTCTGAAAGTCTGCATGCGTCTCCCCCGCCCAAAGCAGCGCTTCGTGGCCCATAGGGGGCCCCAGCGAAGGCCCCACTGGCAAATGTTGCACGCGCCCCCCCCCCCCCACCCAGTGCGGCGTTTCGTGGCCCCATAGTGAGCTCCGCTGAGTACGGTACCCACAGTTGCGGCATTCACAACTGCATATGGTTGGAACCTTCGCCAGTGTATTTTTTTGGCGTTCGCGTTGGTCGTACTTCTACATTGCAACCACGGCGTTGGTTCCACTCCCCTTGTCTTCGTGCTGCTGCTGGCATTGCAACTAACTTGTTCGAGCACGGTTGGCTGCAGTCGCATTGTTGCTACTGCGACTGCTACTACTACTATTACTACTACTATTACTACTACTACTACTACTACTACTACTACTACTACTACTACTACTACTACTACTACTACTACTACTACTACTACTACTACTCCTATTACTACTACTACTACTACTACTACTACTACTACTACTACTACTACTACTACTGCTACTACTACTGGCGGTCTCGTGCACCACATCACCACGGCTCAACCACCTAGAGAAGCGCGTCCTTGTGGCTGCCTCATTACCAGTACGTAGCGCGCACCTCTTCTGGGTGAAAGGGCGGGTCTGCCATGCTTGCAACGTCAGGCGCTCGCACCGTGGGCGGTTGGGCCAACAGCCCAGGGTGAAGCGCCAGCAACGGCACAGCAGCACACGTGGCGACCCCAGTACCTACTACTACTACTACTACTACTACTACTACTACTACTACTACTACTACTACTACTACTACTACTACTACTACTACTACTACTACTACTACTACTACTACTACTACTACTACTACTACTACTACTACTACTACTACTACTACTACTGCTACTACTACTACTACTACTACTACTACTACTACTACTACTACTACTACTACTACTACTACTGCTGCTGCTACTGCTACTACTACTATTACAACAACAACTACTACTACTACTACTACTACGACTACCACTACTACTACTACTACTACTACGACGACTACTACCTACTACTACTACTACTACTACTACTACTACCTCTACTCCTACTACTTACTACTTTACTACTACTACTACTACTACTACTACTACTACTACTACTACTACTACTACTACTACTACTACTACTACTACTACTACTACACTACTGCTACTACTTACTACTACTACTATACTACTACTACTACTACTACTACTACTACTACTACTACTACTACTACTACTACTACTACTACTACTACTACTACTACTACTACTACTACTACTACTACTACTAACTACTACTACTACTACTACTACTACTACTACTACTACTACTACTACTACTACTACTACTACTACTACTACTACTACTACTACTACTACTACTACTACTACTACTACTACTACTACTACTACTACTACTACTACTACTACTACTACTACTACTACTACTACTACTACTACTACTACTACTACTACTACTACTACTACTACTACTACTACTACTACTACTACTACTACTACTACTACTACTACTACTACTACTACTACTACTACTACTACTACTACTACTACTACTACTACTACTACTACTACTACTACTACTACTACTACTACTACTACTACTACTATTACTACTCTTTCCTGGAGGGGCTGGGCACACACAGTCGGGACTCGATCACCTCGGTCGACCCGTGAGGGGCCCGCGGTGTCTCGGCTCAGACAGTTTGCAAGGAGAGCTCGCGACGCACCCAGGCAGCGCTCGTAGTGCGATCGCGTGGCTGACCGCTCTGAAAAGCGGCTCTCGTGCTTGGAAGTGAAGGGGGGAGATCACCTGATACTTGACATTCCTGTCACTCCGCCGACACCATACTGATCAACTGCAGCCAACACCGACGGCGACGTGACGGTGGCTGCAGGTTCCCGCGAACGTTTTCTTCCTCGGCGTCCTGGTGTCCGGGGCAGGCCTCGTGTTAATTTTCCTTTTCCTGTTCATGGCCGTTGTGACTGTCTTTGCATCCAAGGAGATCGTTGAGCTTGTGAGACTATTCGCGGACGACACGGCCATCGTCCGCTACCTGTCAGCCTCTCGTGAGTACCGCGCCTACTTCTTTGACGTATGGGCCACGCTTCGGTGGCGATGGATCGACCAGCGGCTGTTCCAAGAGGCAGTGGAGCAGCAGCGAGCAGCAGCGAGCAGCATGGGCTCTCACAGCCCAGGAGGTGGCCCAGGACGAGGAGGAGGCGCAGCAGCAGCTCCAGGACGAGGAGGAACTGTTCCTCTGAGCCCCCCTCGCCCTACAGCGGCCCAAGGGGTTTTTCGAGGCCACGCCAGTGTCGCCCCCGCGTCACTACCAGTGGCCGATTCCTGGGGGAGGCCGTGGCATGCACGTCGTAGCCCCGCTGCTCAGGGTGTTGCCCTGCTTGCTTCCACGGGCCAGCTGCTACTCGAGCGTGAACTGCTTCGAAGAGGGAGTTGAGGTCGGTGTCGTCGGGGTTGTAGGTCCACTCGTCACCTTCTGGGTCCGTCCAACGGTCAGGATGGTGTAGTTCCAGCCTATCTCGCCCATGCCGGCAATGAGAGCGCCCATGGGCCCTGTGACAGATCGCCACTTGGACTTGGCGCCCACTCTGGCCATCTTGCCAGCCACAGCCTGCCATCCGAGTCGAACGCGGGCATGAAGCTGCGGCTGTTGGGCCCAGAAGGTGGACCACTCTGTGATCTGCCGTCGGAGGTTGAAGGGGAGTGGGCCCTGCTTGCCGTAAATGTGAAGCATGATTGTCGACGTGCATCTGCCGCCGACCGTGAAGCCTGCCACGGTAGCTGCCGTGGCTCTCTCCTGTTCCACTCTTGTCGCAGGCAACCCCATGACTGCAGCGCCATGCATCCGCTTTGCTCGCAAGTTGGCCGTGTATAGTCGAGCCGTAGCTTTCCGTCAACTCCACGTCTCTGGAAGACCTGCGCTCTTCGGAACCGTTTTGCCGTCGCTGCCCCTCTCTTGGCTGCCGTAGGAGTACGCCTTGCCCTGCCAACGGTGGAGTCGAAGCCGAGGCCCCTGGTTGTCTTGGCCGAGCGGATCGCCACCCCTACTTTGCATATTGAACGCGCCACCGCTTTCTGAACTGAGCGGTGGCCCAGGATGACCGTCTTCTCAGTGACTTTCAAGCCAAGCTTTTGGATACCTTCTACCAGCGCTGCCGATCCATGCTCCATCTGGTGTCTGACTAGAGAACGGTGACCTGCAGCTCTTGCCATGAGGTCGTCCACGAACTCCCGCATCATGAGGTCCTGGTAGCGCAGGTGCACATGCTCTAGCAGGTCGTAAAGGTACGCGCGGGTCGTATTGTTCGCTTCAGTGCAACCTGCCAGCATGCCATTGTGCGGGATGATTGCGCTTGAGCTGTAGACGTCTCTGACACGGATGGCGCGGGGGCTGAGGTAAAGCAGGCAGGACATGTAGAGGGCCACTGGGGAGAAATCCAGTTTCGTAGCCAGCACACACAGAGAGCTGATATCTATGTGGTCGTAGAACTTCACGGTATCCAAGAAGAGAGTAGCACCGTCCGTGTCGCCTCGCATGGCCGATACTTCATCCAGGATGAGCGTTGTTAGCGCAGCCTGCAATGACGATGATCCTCTGATGGCCTTGTCCCAGAAGCCCGCCTTGGTCTCGCACCACTCACCAGTGAGGTGCCTGTTCATGCGTCCCCATGCCCTCGCTGGCATGGGGAGCAACCCGATGGGCCTTTCATCGCCCGTGGCGATGGCTTCGCCTTTGGCGAGGAGGCAGATCCAGATTTGCATAAGTTGGTATGGCCATGATAACTTCTGGACGCAAGCGTTCAGTATCTGGACGAACTCTTGCTTCGCCTCCTGACTGGCTGCCTGCAGGGAAGCTCGTGACCATTGATCAGTAGATTGTGCCGTCTGTAATGGAATAGACTTGTGTTGCCGCGTGCAGGTCATCCATGGTGTACTCTACCCAGTCAGCGTCGAGCTGCTCGCGGGCCTTGCGCCTGAGGGTCTTCATGCTGTCGGTGAGGTCGCTGCCTGCCGAGTGCGTAGTCCAGCGTTCCTGCCACTTTGACGCTCTGGCATCAACTGTTCCTTGCGGGTCACCGATGACCTGGTGGTTGTGAATTGCCGTGTCGTGTAGCTCCTTCTTCTCATGTTTGGAGATGTAGCGGTGAGCTCCCTTGAGGCTGCTCTGAAGCGAAGTCTGGGCCCACTCTCGCACTGCAACTTGCGCTGCTGTCCACGTAGCTTTGGAGCGGCCTCTGAGAAGGATCGGGACTTCACAAGCACCTCACAAATCGTCTCTGGCGATGGGTAGACTTGATCATATTGGACTTGGTGGAGGAGCATGCTGAGCCCATCCAAGAGGGTTATCTCGCCTTCTGGGCATTCCTGGGATGCCGTTGCCCTCATCTTCTGCACCGTGTCGACCAAGTTGTCCAGGAGCTGCCTTGGGCGTACTGCAGGGTTTGGATTATCTGACGTTTCGGCTTCGCCAGTATCCCGTTCGTCATCCGATCGCCGCCCGTCGTCATCAGGTGGCGCACTATCTTGGAGACGGTCTCGAAACATTTGGCGAGTGGCCTCATGGAGTCTCCAGTGTTCATTTATTGCTGTTTTCCTGGCTTCGGGATCTTTACCAAACTCGGATATCCTGTCGACTAGGGCTTGCCGTCTTGGAGCCGCACGCCGCCAAGCTCGCTCGCTCAATTCATGCACTATCTGCTCCAGCGGCCTTCCCTGATGTTGTGCTTGGAGGTGTCTGGCATTCTCGCTGTTCCAAGGGAGTAGTAGGTACGCCAGCAGGTGCGGCGCGCACCAGCGCATCCAGTCGGACGGCTCCTGCTCCTCCTCGCTTGTTATATCAGTAATCCAGGCAGCTGCCCATGCCGTGGCAGATTTGGTGATATCTCGTATTGGTTTGGGAGGGGATGGCAATGTCGGATCATGTCCCGCGAGCTTGAGCTCCTGGGCCTGGTGTAGGTGGCTGAACAGCTCTGCTTCTCCAACGATGGTGGGTTCCTGCTCGTTCTCGCTGTCACTCTCGCTGGAGGTATTGTTCGCCACAGGTTCGCCACTGGGCGCCACTCCTCTGGCGACCTTGGACGAGGCGGCCCCAGACGGTTCGAGACCCCAAGACGTGGGTCCCGAGGGGGCTCGGCCGTCGGCGACCCTGTCAACGGGCGCGGCTCCGTCACCGTTTCCCCCAGGGCCCCTTCCAGCCTCCTGAGGTCTACTCCCCTGACGCCCGGGAGGCCCCCTCGAGACGTCTGCAACGTTGGTATATATCGGAGTGTGGCGCGCTAGCGAGCATCCGATATTAGAGTGCTCTGGCCGCTCTGCGTCCCGCGGACCCCCCCGTGGTAGAGGGTGCGGCTCGCCTGGGTTCTCAGGCTCGCGCTGCAGCAGCTCCAGGTAGTCGAGGCCGTCGTCGTAGCAGTTGACCGCGTCGAAGGGGTCGGCCTCTGCGTCGCCCATGGTGGTGGTCACGGGGATGGAGCGAGGTTCAGCGTGAGTAGTGTACGGCCGAGCGGTCGGTGTATCGTGACCAGGAAAGTGTAGCTGGCTTCTAAATGGGACTTCCGCCCACGGGTAGCACTGGTATGACGGCGTACGGGCAACCAGGCGCGCTATAGGGTCTTCCAGTACAGCATCAGCAATTTGTTGGTCACGTTGGTCCACCGTCTTGGGCCTGATGTTGTCAAAGTTTGTGTCTTTGTTTGAGTGGTTCCGTTCGCACTGCTTGAAAAAGACTTGGAGCTGGCTGGTGAGGCTGATCCAAGCGTTGGTATCCATTTGCTTGGTGCCTGCTTGGATGTGCAAGGGGTCGGGCTGGCGTATCATCTGCCCAAGCCGATAACGTAGCGGTTGTCCTCTGCGTCGCTCATCGCTGATCGGTATCTCGTCCGATAGGCTGAGCAAAGAGGCCTCCGCGGCCATAGCCCATCTTCCATACGACTCGGCGGGGTCGCAAGCTGCAGCTGGATCGAGTGCGTAGGCTGTGCGCTGCTGCGATTCGGAGCTGGCGTCCAAGATGGGGATGTCCTGAACCTGGGTCTTGTGGTATTCCCAGGCGTCAGTATCCACGATGTACGGCACATTCTTGACGTAGTGGTCCTGCAGCAGGTGGCTGTGGACGTCGGTGCCGTGGCCAATGGGGTCTCCATCTTCAGTATGGTATAGCTGCGCGTGGGGGTGACGATCATTATGTTTCCTCTTGAACCCTTTCTCGATCTGGATCACGTGATCTGGGATCTCGATGGGGGCTGGCAGCAGGGTCCTGGTGCAAATAACTGCTGCTGGTCCCGAATGCATTCGGATATCGATGCCCACGTGCGGTTGCCACGGCACCTGGTACACTGGCTCGGCGGACTTGGCGAGCGGCAGGAAGGTTGGCGAACATAGACCCCAATCTATCATACGCCCTGAGCTTCCTGCACAAGTGAAATCGCAGTCTGGCTGGAGATACTCGGCTGCGAATGCCTCGTGCCAGCGCGAGGCCTTGAACTGCTTTGGTGTACTGTTGAAATCGCCGTAGACCATCCGCGGCGTGCCCAGCGTGCGCACGAGTGTCAGCAACTGGTTGAGCTTGGAGATGTTGGCTGGTAGGTCCAGCCCCTTGGGATCCGAGGCGAGGTAGACTGTGATGAGGGCGACAGTGACGTGTCTGAGGCGGACCATGGTGACCGCCGCACCGTGGAGCTGCTGGCCCAGGAGGTCGTCGCCACCCACAGTGGTGAGATGCGGAAAGGTATTGAATTGCCTCGCCCGCGCCCAGAGAGCCCCCCCAGAGCTGCCCTTCCCTGACGCCGGCGTGGCTGGTGATGTCGTATACTCAGAGCGCCAACCCATGCCTCTGAGGTGTCGCTGCTCGTCCTCTAACTGCTTGCCATACAGGTGGGTTTCCACAAACCCCATGAAGTCGCATGGCGCGTCCCTGCAGAACTCGCGGACGGCGTAGGAGAAGTTGCTGATGTTTGCATAGAAGATGCGCAGGTCTTTCTGCGAGAGGCGCTGGAAGCTTGGGCTAGGAGCACTGCAGTCCCCCGCTTCTGCCTGCGCTCGTGGTGGCCGCCACCTGAGCTGCTCGAATACGGGTCTTCTCATCAATGAAGCGCTTTACTTCCTCAGCGTCCGTGAAGTCGTATTCGTTGGCAGTCGGGGCGGTATCTGCGCCTTTCTGAACGGCATCCGTGGCCGCAGGGGCGCCGCGGTGGTCACCTTCGTGTGCTTTGCGTTTCTTGACAGTGATGGTCTCTCGATGCTTCTTGGCGGTAGCGACGGCGTCACGAGCCTGCTCTCCTGTGCGGCGGTGGCTCTCCGTGGCCTGCTTGGCCTGTTCGTGCACTGCCTTCGCTTGGTCATAGGCGGCCCGCTCCTCGGGGCTGAGGAAAGCCAGATCGCTTTCTTCCAGCGCGGGGAACTCATCTTCGCCATCCTCTGCGACTTGAGTATGAGATGGAGCTTCTGACCGACTGCCCCGAAGAAGAGCTGAAAGCCGTTCCACCTCTGCTGAGACTTGCTGGGCCTCGTCGATGTTGCTGGTGAGCTTTTCGACCAACTCGTCTTGCCAGGCCGCGGCTCTCTGAAGCTGGGACTTGAGGCGCTCTTGCTGTCCATGGAGTCGGCGCAGGGTAGCTGCTGAATCCTCGAGCAGCTTGGCCGTGGGCTTGGCTGGCGGCGGGCTGGGCTCTGGTGCCTTGGGGAACTTCTCAGCCAAGATCCGAGCTCCATCTTCGTCTCCTTTCTCTTTGAGGGCCTCCACTGCCTTCTGCATGGTGGCGGCGACGGCGGGGTCCGACGTGGCAGTGTCGAGCTGGAAGCGCACCACAGGACCTGGTCGAAGGAGAGAAGTCCAGTCGAAGATGCCGCATTTGTTACATTTCTCACGTCCTGGCTTGAGTGTTTGTGACTTCCAGATCCAACTGGCGCCAGGAGGGCACTGAGGACAAACCAAGTAATCGTTCTTGCGCTTGCCGCTCGGCGACTGTGAACGTAGTTTGCCCTTCGGACCCTTGGACCCGTTGCGGGCCATGTCGTAGCCGTAGTCGTTGTTCTGGCCTGACTCCAGCGTCCCCACGACGGAGTTGCTGGCCAGAGAGCAAAGTCTAGATCCCAGGGATATCGCTGGCTCAGCAGAGCCACCCCTCAAATCGGAACGGAAGTGTGCTGCACGCGGGCTTGCGCACAGCACCAGATGTGGTGCCGACCCTGGGACTTTCGGTGTGCAGAGATGCGCTGGCAGCCCTGCAAGCCGAAATGCACTTGAGAGCAGGAGGAGGAGGAGGAGGAGGAGGAGGAGGAGGAGGAGGAGGAGGAGGAGGAGGAGGAGGGGGGGGAGGGGGGAGGGGGAGGAGGAGGCGGAGGAGGATGAGGCGGAGGCGGAGGAGGAGGAGGCGGCGGAGGAGGAGGAGGAAGAGGAGGAGGAGGATAATGAGGAGGGAGGAGGATAATGGAGGAGGAGGAGGAAGTGGCGGAGGAGGAGGAGGAAGTGGAGGGGAGGGGGGGATGAGGTGCAGAGACTCGTGGCAGGGAGTGCGGCAAAGGAAGTAGCATGTGTAATTCTACGAAGCGTGCGGACAAACACAAGCAGCGCTCGCTCCTGCGGTCGTCTCACTGTCGTTGACGACCGCTCCCCCCCTCCTTCCCTGAGCATTTCCTAAGCCCTAATTTCTCTAGCACCCGCGCCGTCCTACTCCGCAGGAGCCGCTGAACGTTGGCTTCTTCGCCGTGCGCCCCGACAGCAGGCTGCTTCGAGCAGCCGAGCTGTTCGCGGAGGTAGCAAACTTCAGCGAGAAGCCCTCCAGCCTGTCGCCCAGAGGAGGCTGGGCCGACAGCGGATTCGCCCCTGCGGGCGGCTACTTTGTGGGCGCCGAGTGTGGCCAGGGCTTCTTCCACACGCTCCTCTACAAGAAGTCAGCCCCAGTGCTGCGTGCGCTCGCGGCCGCTGGGCTTCCGCCGGCTGGCGTCAGCGCTCTGCAAGTGGACCGGTGCGTGTGGAATTACCAGACGGGCCACCAGTGCAGGCCAGCGTTTGACTGTGGATCCGTCAGGGCCCACCACAAGCCCAACGGCGACGTAAATACGCGCGACTGCAAAAAGCTGGCCTTTCGGCGCCCACAGGCAGTTCTGCCTGGGTCGGGAGACCAGGCCGACGACGACTTTCGTGAGCTGCGGCCTGGAGAAGTCTGTGTGCCGCAGTGCGTCAACGTCGGCGAGAATTGCAAGTGCAAGAAGCCAGTAAAGACGGTACGGGTGCCTGGGATGGTCCATTCGTGCGAGGCAGTGGCCAGGAACCCCAGCGGCGATAGGTTCGGAGTGCAGGCAGTTGACGGGAGTATCGTTGTGACGCGCACGGATTCGCAAGGCTGCTGGTGCGACTCGGAGCTATATGTGCAGTGCTGCGTCGCCCCTCCAGCGCCTCCTGAGCCGCGGCACGCAGTGGAGGGTAGGGGGGATGTGGAGCTGGCTGCTCCAGATGCCTTCACCCAGCCGAGCCTTCCGCGCCTCAGGATTGGCCAGGCCTGCCATGACTGCTGCAACGACGGCGAGAGGACGGTACCCTGCCTCGACGTGGAGGCCTGCGCGGTTGCGGCAGACGAGAAGGCGAGCGACGCTCGGAAGTTTGCCTTCGTTCTCGCGCACCTGGGGAGGCCGGGCTGGCCCTGGCTGAGCTTCGTCGGCAGCATGCGGAAGCGTGCGGACGCGCTGGGCGCTGACATTGTGCTGCTGATGCTGCGGGAGGACGCTCGGGGCCTGGGCTGCCGGCACAGGAACCTGCTGCTCCTCTACCGCGTCCGCCTCGTCGAGGTGGACTGGGCTTTGCCTCCAACGCTGAAGTGGCACCCCAGCTACTGGTGGCCAGGGAAGCCCGACGGCTGGTGCGGCCCAATGGACCTCATTAGGCTGCACGCGCTTGGGCTGGAGGAGTACAGCGCCGTTGCTTTCTACGACTCCGACGTCGAGTTCCAGGGCGACGTCTCCGCGATCTTTCGCTGCGCCTCCTCTGGCGTCGTCCTGACAGCCAGTGGGCTCATGGCGCCTCTGAACATGGGCTTCTTCGCCGCGCGTCCCGACAAGCGTCTGCTCCGCGCGGCGCTCCTCTTCGCCGAGAACGCCTCGTACGACGACAGGACAGGCTGGGCGGGCAGCGGATTCGCTCCTGCCGGAGGCAGCTTCGTGGGCGCGGAGTGTGGCCAGGGCTTCTTCCACACGCTTTTCTACAAGCGGACCAGCGGGCTTGCCAGGAGCGCGCTCGCCGCGGCGGGGCTCGGCGGCCACGAGGCTCCTGCGGGCGTCGCGGCGGCGCAGGTTGACTCCTGCGTCTGGAACTACCAGACGAGCCAGCAGTGCAGCCCAAGCTTCGACTGCCGCCTTGTCCGCGTGCACCACAAGCCCGCTGGGGCGCCAACGGGCCGCGACTGCGGGAAGCTGGCCACGCGGGCGGACTACGTGCCCGATCCCAGCGACGCCTCGGTCGATTTCGCGAAGTCGCCGGCAGGCCCAGGCTCAGTCGGGCCAGCCTGTGAGCAGCGCTGTGTCCACGTGGGTGCCAACTGCAAGTGTGACGGGCCCAACAACGTGAAGAGCGTGGAGGCAGATGGCGAGATTGCCCACTGCGACGGCCAGGTCTTGAACTCGGCCGGCGACCGCTTCTCCGTCAGCTGGAGGGGTGCCACTCTCACGGTCCAGAGAACCGACGCAGAGGCATGCTGGTGTGCGGAGGATTTGGAGGTGCCATGCTGCGTCAGGCCGAGAAAAGGCTCTCGAGTATTTCGATGCCTCCCTGGCACGAATGCACGCGAGTTGTACATTGACCGCAGCACCACGTTTCCATGTCATGGCTTTTTGAGCTATCCAAGACGCCTCTTGTGAAGTATCGCCGCACCCTGCCTGTTAGGATACGCCTATGCGGCCAAACGGTTAGGCAAAGTTTGGCCATACTATTGGACCATGCGTTCCCCAAGCCGTTGTGGAAGCCCTTCGGGGAACACGTGGGGGAGGAAGAGGAGGATCAAGAGTGGAAGGAAAAAGGATGAGGAGGTGGAGAAGACGGATGAGGAGATCTCTTGGGAGCTTCTTGGGCCATTTTGGGGGCCTCCTGGGAGCTTCCTGGGGCCTCTTGGAGTCCTCTGGGGGCCTTTGGGGGCCTCTTGGGCTTGTAGTTTCAGGCAGAGTGAAGCGGGAACGATCGGGGGGCCCCAGAAGGCACGCGAACATCCTCTTCAGGAAATCTGGCCGTTGGGCCTCCAGGCCCCTGAAGCAGCATTTGCAACATCCAATTGCGAGGATTGAAGACTCTTGAGGCCCGGAGGCCCTGAGTGGAGATCGGGAAGGTCGCGGCCGCGACTAGTCAGTTCGATTTTTTGTTGACGATCACAGGAAAGCCACCCAGACGCCAACATCATTCCATGCAGTGACCCTCCACTCAGTGCATCACGGCACGGTTGCGGGTTTCGTGTGTAATCCAGTTTCCACGCCGTGAATGCATTGCGCGGGGGGGAAGGCTCGGGGGGCGCGAGTGTGTGGGGCTGACGGTGGGGCCATGTAGCCCGACCAGAGTTCACGTATGGTTTTGAGCTTTTTGGAAGGCTGGCACATCAGGACGCATACGAGGCTCGACGCGGTGAGAGGTACAGCGATTGCTTTTCAAGGGCAACGACTAAGAAACGCAATGGGCCGACGCACCAGCCGCGGTACTTTGCGGTGGCGGACTTCACGGGATTCATGTGCATTTGTGGATTTAAGGTCCATTTTCCGGGGAAATCGCGTCCGATGGTCCATTTTTACCTAACAGCTTTTGCTGATAGGTTTCTAGTGGTCTCAAAAGAGAGCAGCAGATGACTCCACAGGGGGGTCGGGGCGGGACCCGGGGCGGGACCCGGGGCGGCTGCCGCCGAAGCCCAAATCGCTTGGGACATCCTCGCAAAATCGCTCTTGGCGCTGCTAGAACTCCATCCCCGGCGTACATTTTGGATGCCCGGAGCCAATTGTAGGCCACTTCGTGCTCTTCGACTTCCCAGAACTCCATTCCCGGCGTACATTTTGGATGCCCGGAGCCAACTGTAGGCCACTTCGTGGTCTTCGAGTTCCCAGAACTCCATTCCTGGGCCACATTTTGGATGCCCGGAGCCAACTGTAGGCCACTTCGTGGTCTTCGAGTTCCCAGAACTCCATTCCCGGGCCACATTTTAATGCCCGGAGCCAACTGTAGGCCACTTCGTGCTCTTCAGTTCCCAGAACTCCATTCCTGGGCATGATTTTGAATGCCCGGAGCCAACTGTAGGCCACTTCGTGTTCTTCTAGTTCCCAGAACTCCATTCCTGGGCCACATTTTGAATGCTGAGGCAGGCTGATGCTGCGGCCGAGGCAGGCTGAGGCTGAGGCAGGCTGAGGCTGAGGCCGAGGCTGAAGGCAGACTGAGGCTGAGGCTGAAGCAGGCTGAGGCTGAGGCTGAGGCAGGCTGAGGCTGAGGCTGAGGCAGGCTGATGCTGAGGCAGGCTGAGGCTGAGGCTGAGGCTGATGCAGGCTGAGGCTGAGGCAGGCTGAGGCTGAGGCCGAGGCTGAAGGCAGACTGAGGCTGAGGCTGAAGCAGGCTGAGGCTGAGGCTGAGGCAGGCTGAGGCTGAGGCAGGCTGAGGCTGAGGCTGAGGCAGGCTGAGGCTGAGGCTGTGACTGCGACTGCCGTTGCCATTGCGACTGTCATCGCGAATGCGACTACGACTGCGAGAACAGCAGAATTCTACAACTGGATTCTCATCTGAATCTGAAGGGGAATGCTTCCAGATATGCTCCTACACATCGCTGTTAGGTTGCTTTGCCGGGATAATCCAGGGAAATCGCGTCCGATGAACCTACACGAGTTTCCATGTGTTGTGAGCCCCTCTTGCGATTTGACGGCATCGTACTAGGCGGAGCCATTCATTCTGGACATTTTCACTCGTCATTGCAGGCGCCAGTGATTCTTTTTTCATCGTCCTCACCATCCTTCTCCCCGTCCTCTCCCTCCACTCCTTTCCTTCGTTGTTTTTTGCTCGCTGCTCTGCTGGTGTTAATCCGCGCCCTTTCCCTCCTCGCCTACACCGTCCGAAGGGCTTTCGTTGCTAAGCCATGAATGTCTGAGACCTACAGTGATTCACGCATCGAGGACCGACCTGGATTCCACAACGGCTCTTTTTCTCTCATTCCCCTCCTCCTCCTCTTCCTCCTTGTTCTCCTTCTACTTCTTCTCTCCTTCCCTACGTCTCCCCTGTGCGACAACTGTACGACGATCAGACAGCCGTTTTAAGAATCAATGCCAGCAGCAGGAACTTTTCATTACAACGTGGTGTGAAGCAGGGCGGCCTACTCAGCTCGTTCTTGTTCGATGCGCTGTTGGAACACGTCTTCGGACAGCTCAAGCCCAGCTGGCACCGCAGTAAGTTTGCCATCAAGCACGGCTTTGCTACAGGGGCCAGCATCACGTATTGTGCTTTACAGACGACGTTATTTTTTGTTCTGGGCTTGCGACAGTTCACATGTTTATTGCGGGACTTGAGAAACGAGGCATCCAATTGTGGGTATACATTACACCCAGACACAACCAACATACTTACGAGCATAAATCGTATGATAAGAATGACAATTACACATATCATGTTGGACGATGCACCTATCGACATGCAGCCAACCGACTGAAAGACAACGTATATGGGAAAAAAGGTAACGTTCCACGAGTTCCACGACACTAAGCTACATATCAGGATCGCCAATGGGTTGTCAAAATTCAACCAACTGCGACATAAGCTCACACACGAGCGAGTTCTTGACGCTTCGCATGTCCCCACTATCGCATCCAGAAACGATGCCCATGCGAGTTGCCTCTCAGAGTCTCTTCGGCGGCTGTCTCTTGGAAGCCTTTTGGAGGCCTCTTGGCGCGTCTGAGGGGCCTTCTGGCGGTCCCGGGGGCCTCTTGGGGCGTCTTGGGTGCTTCGGGGAGCCTCTCCGGGCCTCTTGGGGGTCTCTTGGGAGCCTTCTGGAGGCCTCTTGGGCGCCTCTTGGGGCCTCCTGTGCGCCTCTTGGGGCTCTCTTGATTCGCTCTTGGGAGCCTTGGGAGCGCTCTTGGGGCCATCTTGGGCCGTCTTGGACGTCATCTTGGGCTCTCTGAGGCCCTCTTGAAGCCGTCTCGGGCCATCTTAGATGCTCTGACCGCTCGCGGCGCGCCCTGTCCAGGTCCAGGATGGGGAGGGGTGAAGCCACCCTCCTGGATAGCAAGCCGTCTGCTCACTCCCACCCGCCCTCCCAACACACCAGTAACACCCGAGCCTCAGCATGTTCAGCGGTCGTCTTTGGATGGACAGCTACTGGGAACCAAAACCGAGCCCATGTGCGGAACGCTGGGGCGAGGTGCGCCACGCGTGCGCGCCACGCGCGCCAGGCACCCCTGGGGCCCGAGCGTGCCAGGCACGCCTGGTGCGCCAGATGCGCAACGTGCCTCCGCGTGCGCCAGGTGTGCCGCATACTCCAGCCGCGTCAGGTGCGCCTCCGCACGCGACAGAGTGTGTCAGGTGCGCCTGCGCACGTGACAGCACGCATCGGGAAACATGTCGGCCCCCACCATCCATGTTGAAAGCCAATGCCCATCATTGTGTCTGATGGGCCTGCGCACAGCAGGCCGTACGCCACCACTTGACAGTGATCTCGGGGTCACCGCGCATGATGCAGATTTTGCCGCGAGATGCATCTTGTATTGTTTTTTTTGGTGTTAGGGATGGTAGCCCTGCGCGCAGCAGGCAATATGCTGACAACCCCGCCGTCCTTGTTAAACAACAACAATACAAAGTGCGATCAGGCCTCAGGAACATGACTCCAGACTTTGCCCGAAACTGCAATTTGTTTTGTTCTTTGACTGGGATAGTGGGGGGGGGGCCTCATGGGGACCGTAGTGTTCCTGGTTGGCTGCTGGTCGCCTGGGGGAGGGGTGTACATTAATTAGGGAACAGTGATAAACCCTTCCCCGACGGGGAAGAAGGGGGTTGGAAGAGGAGCCTCTCTTGACCACCTACGCCCAGAGGGCTGGTTGGATTCCATACCACAGCAGGTTGAAGCTCTTCAATAGCACTATCGTCTTGCCTTATGTACGCATGCCCGTCCTGGACCCTGACGAAAGGCCCATCCCTTTACGATGGATGCAGCGGAAAATGTTGAGTCTTGCCATTGGAACGCCGATCAGACGAACCTCGACAAAACAAAGCAGACAGAGCTAATGCCGACAGCAGCATCACCACCAGCGCCGACATCAATAACACCGACACCAGCACTGGCACCAGCACTGACACTTGCACTGAGCAACACAGCCAAAACGATAAACACAGAGACGACGAAATGGAATCGTGGGTTCCCTTCCTACTAAGAAGTGCATCCGCCGCTGTGGCGCTTGCGAAGCGTGCGCAGGTCGATGAATGGAACAGATGTGTATTTCAAAAGCAGATGGAAACTTGCAGCACGAATCGCCAACCACGGCATAGAGAGATGGACGGAAGCGTTTGAGTGCGAGCTGGGACCCCGGCGTGCACGACTCACGACCAGCCTTTCGCAGTCACGGACGGCAGAAATCTTTGGAAGAAGACTCAATGTGTTATTTGCGTTGTGAACCCAGTGCCGCCGGCGATGCACAGTGGTGGGAATTGGCGCAGAACCAACAATGGGATCACCATGGACAGCACTTTTTTGCAGCACATGCATCGATTTATGGATTCCAGCAGTCGTGCCCACACCGATTCGTGAAGGACCTTCATCCCCAAGTTGAATATTTTTGCATGGACGCGCCGAACTATTACGCAGATCAGGTCATCGCCATCGTCAACATCATCATCATCATCAGCAGCAGCATCATCA